TTATATGTAATTTAAATGTACTGAAGCATTGTGCTAAATGCTGTGGAAATATTTCTTCCCAAAATTATTTGGGCCACCAATATGTCATTTGGGCCAGTGCTTCAAATTTTTTACTCGGACAATTTTTTTTTTTTGGGCCAGCCAATGCAGGTTCCCCACTATCCTTTATTGTTCATGTTTACTTGAAACTGATCAGTTAAACAAAATGGCCTACCGACAGCCGTCTAGGATTTTTGACATTGAATTAAAGGTTTGTTAGTACTATTTCTCAGGAATAACTTCAGGGTTCTTCTCAAATTTGATATGTAGGTTCCCCTTGACCCCTCGTTGTGCATGTTATATTTTGAGACTGATCATAAAAACAAAATGACTAAAGGAAGAACTAAACAGATCGTTCTCATGTTGCAATGACTCAATCAAACAGATTAGAGGAAAGAAGAGAAAAGATCGAACTGACAAAGAGCTAATGAAGATGGTACAATGGTGGGCGCCAAGATCCCTCTGGGATCTCTTGTTATAACTGTATAGTAACATGTACAATGTGTGGAGACTAAGGCAGAGTTTAAATTAAAACGAAACATATGAAAAGTTAATAAGCATATGGGCCCGAATTACTTTGATATTATACTGAAACAACTGATATAATGTGATATTATGTAGGAGTAACTGGTATATTATGATATTATATAGGAATAACTGGTATTTTATGATATGATATAGGATTAATTGGTATATTATGATATTATATAGGAATTACTGGTATATTATGATATTGTATAGGAATTCCTGATATATTGTGATATTATATAGGAATAACTTGTATATTATGATATTATATAGGAATAACTGGTATTTTATGATATGATATAGGATTAATTGGTATATTATGATATTATATAGGAATTACTGGTATATTATGATATTATATAGAAATAACTGGTATATTATGATATTATATAGGAATTACTGGTATATTATGATATTGTATAGGAATACCTGATATATTGTGATATTATATAGGAATAACTTGTATATTATGATATTATATAGGAATAACTGGTATATTATGATATTATATAGGAATTACTGGTATATTATGATATTATATAGAAATAACTGGTATATTATGATATTATATAGGAATAACTGGTATATTATGATATTATATAGGAATTACTGGTATATTATGATATTATATAGAAATAACTGGTATATTATGATATTATATAGGAATAACTGGTATATCTTGATATTGTATAGGAATAACTGGTATATTATGATATTATATGGAATAACTGGTATATTATGATATTATATAGTAATAACTGGTATATTATGATATTATGTAGGAATAACTGGTATATTGTGATATTATATAAGAATAACTGGTATATTATGATATTATTTAGGAATAAATGGTATATTATGATATTATATAGGAATTACTGGTATATTATGATATTATATAGGAATTTCTGGTATATTATGATATTGTATAGGAATACCTGATATATTGTGATATAATATAGGAATAACTGGTATATTGTGATATTATATAGGAATAACTGGTATATTATGATATTATATAGGATTAATCGGTATATTATGATATTATATAGTAATAACTGGTATATTATGATATTATGTAGGAATAACTGGTATATTATGATATTGTATAGGAATACCTGATATATTGTGATATAATATAGGAATAACTGGTATATTGTGATATTATATAGGAATAACTGGTATATTAAGATATTGTATAGGAATAACTAGTATATTATGATATTATATAGGAATACCTGATATATTATGATATTATATAGTAGTAACTGTATATTATGATATTATGTAGTAATATCATAATATACCATTTATTCCTAAATGGTATATTATGATATTATATAGGAATAGCTGGTATATTAAGATATTATATAGGAATAACTAGCATATTAAGATATTGTATAGGAATACCTGATATATTATGATATTATATAGGATTAATCGGTATATTATGATATTATATAGGGATAACTGGTATATTAAGATATTGTTTAGGAATAACTAGTATATTAAGATATTGTATATGAATAACTAGTATATTATGATATTATATAGGAATAACTGGTATATTAAGATATTATATAGGAATAACTGGTATATTGTGATATTATATAGGAATAACTAGTATATTAAGATATTGTATAGGAATAACTAGTATATTATGATATTATATAGTAGTAACTGGTATATTGTGATATTATATAGGAATAACTGGTATATTGTGATATTATATAGGAATACCTGATATATTGTGATATTATATAGGAATACCTGATATATTATGATATTATATAGGAATACCTGATATATTATGATATTATATAGGAATACCTGATATATTATGATATTATATAGGAATATCTGGTATATTATGATATTGTATAGGAATACCTGATATATTGTGATATTATATAGGAATAACTGGTATATTGTGATATTATATAGGAATAACTAGTAAATTAAGATATTGTATAGGAATAACTAGTATATTATGATATTATATAGTAGTAACTGGTATATTGTGATATTATATAGGAATAACTGGTATATTATGATATTATATAGGAATTACTGGTATATTGTGATATTATATAGGAATAACTGGTATATTATGATATTATATAGGAATAACTGGTATATTATGATATTGTATAGGAATACCTGATATATTATGATATTATATAGGAATACCTGATATATTGTGATATTATATAGGAATAACTAGTATATTATGATATTATATAGTAGTAACTGGTATATTATGATATTATGTAGGAATAACTGGTATATTATGATATTATTTAGGAATAAATGGTATATTAAGATATTATATAGGAATAACTGGTGTATTATGATATTATATAGGAATATCTGATATATTGTGATATTATATAGGAATAACTAGTAAATTAAGATATTGTATAGGAATAACTAGTATATTATGATATTATATAGTAGTAACTGGTATATTATGATATTATTTATGAATAAATGGTATATTATGATATTATATAGGAATTCCTGATATATTATGATATTATATAGGAATAACTGGTATATTATGATATATAGGAATAACTGGTATATTATGATATTGTATAGGAATAACTTGTATATTAAGATATTGTATAGGAATCACTGGTATATTATGATATTATGTAGGAATAACTGGTATATTATGATATTGTATAGGAATAACTTGTATATTGTGATATTATATAGGAATAACTGGTATATTATGATATTATGTAGGAATAACTGGTATATTGTGATATTATGTAGGAATAACTGGTATATTATGATATTGTATAGGAATAACTGGGATATTATGATATTATATAAGAATAACTGGTATATTATGATATTATTTAGGAATAAATGGTATATTATGATATTATGTAGGAATAAATGGTATATTATGATATTGTATAGGAATAACTGGTATATTATGATCTTATATAAGAATAACTGGTATATTATGATATTGTATATGAATAACTGGTATATTATGATATTATATAAGAATAACTGGTATATTATGATATTATATAGTAATAACTGGTATATTATGATAATGTATAGGAATAACTGGTATGTTATGATATTGTATAGGAATAACTGGTATATTATGATATTATATAGGAATAACTGGTATATAATGATATTATATAGGAATAACTGATATATTATGGTATTGTATAGGAATAACTGGTATATTTTGATATTATATAGGAATAACTGGTATATTATGATATTGTATATGAATAACTGGTATATTATGATATTATATAAGAACTACTATCTAACATCACTTGTGTAATGCAGAACCAGTGTTTGTTCTGAATCCTTTGTAATCAAGAATCTGTCTATTTTAAACCCTTTTCAATCCAGGATTTCTGTTCTAAACCCTGTGTAATCTAAAACTTTGTAGTGTCTGTTCTTATTCCTTTGTAATCCAGAACCTGTTTGGTGTAGAATTTTAGCTTTAATACAAACATATATGTAATGTTTATATCCAACATCACTCTGTCTCAATAGGAGCAATTGTATCAACCAGCCAAGCTATTCACCTAAGGTTAATTTGCTATCTATATTCATAGAATTAAAAGTAATCACAAATTGATACAGAGCAAAGACATGTACACCATTGAATGCTAATATTATTGACAGAATACTGAAACAGTTTTGATACCATTCCAGTAAATCTACTAGGAATAAGGAAATATTTCACATACAAGTTATTGATCGACTCAAATACTTTGTCAGGATAATCTAGCACACCGAAATGGACAAAACCTGGCCAGCTGTGGAATATAATTATAATTTATTTCCTCCCCTTGTTCCGATGGTCATTTTAAGGAAGTAGAAAGTTGAGTGTAAGGAGATCGGAGGATAATTGTCCAGATGGTTGTCTAGAGGAAGAGTTAGGTAGTTGTGTGTAAGGAGATCAGAGGATGATGGTCCTGATTGTTGTCTGAAGAAAGTAAGAAAGCCATCACTTGTCTGTTGTCCAGTACTATAGCCACCACTTGTCTGTTGTCCAGTACTATAACCACCACTTGTCTGTTGTCCAGTACTCAAGCCACCACTTGTCTGTTGTCCAGTACTATAGACACCCCTTGTCTGTTGTCAAGTAATCCAGCCACCACTTGTCTGTTGTCCAGTCCTCTAGCCACCTCTTGTCTGTTGTCCAGTACTCTAGCCACCACTTGACTGGTGTCCAGTACTCTAGCCACCACTTGTCTGTTGTCCAGTACTATAGACACCACTTGTCTGTTGTCAAGTACTCCAGCCACCACTTGTCTGTTGTCCAGTACTCCAGCCACCACTTATCTGTTGTCCAGTACTCCAGCCACCACTTGTCTGTTGTCCAGTACTCCAGCCACCACTTGTCTGTTGTCCAGTACTATAACCACCACTTGTCTGTTGTCCAGTGCTCCAGCCACCACTTGTCTGTTGTCCAGTACTCCAGCTACCACTTGTCTGTTGTCCAGTACTCTAGCCACCACTTGTCTGTTATCAAGTACTATAGCCACCACTTGTCTGTTGTCCAGTACTCCAGCCACCACTTATCTGTTGTCCAGTACTCCTGCCAACACTTGTCTGTTGTCCAGTACTATAGTCACCACTTGTCTGTTGTCCAGTACTTCAGCCACCACTTGTCTGCTGTCCAGTCCTATAACCACCACTTGTCTGTTGTCAAGTACTACAGCCCCCACTTGTCTGTTGTCCAGTGCTCCGGCCACCACTTGTCTGTTGTCCAGTAATATAGCCACCACTTGTCTGTTGTCCAGTCCTCCAGCCACCACTTATCTGATGTCCAGTCCCCCAGCCACCCCTTGTCTGTTGTCCAGTACTATAGCTACCACTTGTCTGTTGTCCAGTCCTCCAGCCACCACTTGTCTGCTGTCCAGTACTATAACCACCACTTGTCTGTTGTCCAGTACTATAGTCACCACTTGTCTGTTGTCCAGTACTTCAGCCACCACTTATCTGTTGTCCATTACTCCAGCCACCACTTGTCTGTTGCCCAGTACTCTAGCCACCACTTGTCTGTTATCAAGTACTATAGCCACGACTTGTCTGTTGTCCAGTACTATAGTCACCACTTGTCTGTTGTCCAGTACTACAACCACCACTTGTCTGTTGTCCAGTACTACAACCACCACTTGTCTGTTGTCCAGTGCTCCAGCCACCACTTGTCGTTTGTCCAGTACTCCAACTACCACTTGTCTGTTGTCCAGTACTCTAGCCCCCACTTGTCTGTTGTCAAGTACTCCATCCACCACTTATCTGTTGTCCAGTACTCCTGCCAACACTTGTCTGTTGTCCAGTACTATAACCCCCACTTGTCTGTTGTCCAGTGCTCCGGCCACCACTTGTCTGTTGTCCAGTACTACAGCCACCACTTGTCTGTTGTCCAGTTCTCTAGCCACCACTTGTCTGTTGTCCAGTCCTCCAGCCACCACTTATCTGATGTCCAGTCCCCCAGCCACCCCTTGTCTGTTGTCCAGTACTATAGCCACCTCTTGTCTGTTGTCCAGGACTATAGCCACCACTTGTCTGTTGTAAAGTACTCCAGCCACCACTTGTCTGTTATCAAGTACTATAGCCCCCACTTGTCTGTTGTCCAGTGCTCCAGCCACCACTTGTCGTTTGTCCAGTACTCCAACTACCACTTGTCTGTTGTCCAGTACTCAAGCCACCACTTGTCTGTTGTCCAGTCCTCCAGCCACCACTTATCTGATGTCCAGTCCTCCAGCCACCACTTGTCTGCTGTCCAGTCCTATAACCACCACTTGTCTGTTGTCCATTACTATAGCCACCACTTGTCTGTTGTCAAGTTCTCCAGCCACCACTTGTCTGTTGTCCAGTACTCCAGCCACCACTTGTCTGTTGTCCATTACTATAGCCACCACTTGTCTGTTGTCAAGTTCTCCAGCCACCACTTGTCTGTTGTCCAGTACTATAACCACCACTTGTTTGTTGTCAAGTACTATAACCACCACTTGTCTGTTGTCCAGTACTCCAGCCACAACTTGTCTGTTGTCTAGTACTATAACCACCACTTGTCTGTTGTCCATTACTATAGCCACCACTTGTCTGTTGTCCAGTACTCCAGCCACCACTTGTCTGTTGTCCAGTACTATAACCACCACTTGTCTGTTGTCCAGTACTACAGCCACAACTTGTCTGTTGTCAAGTACTATAACCACCACTTGTCTGTTGTCCATTACTATAACCACTACTTGTCTGTTGTCCAGTACTACAGCCACGACTTGTCTGTTGTCCAGTACTATAGCCACCACTTGTCTGTTGTCAAGCAATATAACCACCACTTGTCTGTTGTCCATTACTATAACCACCACTTGTCTGTTGTCCATTACTATAGCCACCACTTGTCTGTTGTCCAGTACTTTAGCCACCACTTGTCTGTTGTCCAGTACTCCAGCTACCACTTGTCTGTTGTCAAGTACTCCAGCCACCACTTGTTTGTTGTCCAGTACTCCAGCCACCACTTGTCTGTTGTCCAGTACTATAGCCACCACTTGTCTGTTGTCCAGTACTCCAGCCACCACTTGTCTGTTGTCCAGTACTCCAGCCACCACTTGTCTGTTGTCCAGTACTCCAGCCACCACTTGTCTGTTGTCCAGTACTCCAGCCACCACTTGTCTGTTGTCCAGTACTCCAGCCACCACTTGTCTGTTGTCCAGTACTCCAGCCACCACTTGTCTGTTGTCCAGTACTCCAGCCACCACTTGTCTGTTGTCCAGTACTCCAGCCACCACTTGTCTGTTGTCCAGTACTCCAGCCACCACTTGTCTGTTGTCCAGTACTCCAGCCACCACTTGTCTGTTGTCCAGTACTCCAGCCACCACTTGTCTGTTGTCCAGTACTCCAGCCACCACTTGTCTGTTGTCCAGTACTCCAGCCACCACTTGTCTGTTGTCCAGTACTCCAGCCACCACTTGTCTGTTGTCCAGTACTCCAGCCACCACTTGTCTGTTGTCCAGTACTATAGCCACCACTTGTCTGTTGTCCAGTACTATAGCCACCACTTGTCTGTTGTCCAGTACTATAGCCACCACTTGTCTGTTGTCAAGTACTATAGCCACCACTTGTCTGTTGTCCAGTACTTTAGCCACCACTTGTCTGTTGTCCAGTACTATAGCCACCACTTGTCTGTTGTCAAGTACTCCAGCCACCACTTGTCTGTTGTCAAGTACTATAGTCACCACTTGTCTGTTGTCCAGTACTCCAGCCACCACTTGTCTGTTGTCAAGTACTATAGCCACCACTTGTCTGTTGTCCAGTACTTTAGCCACCACTTGTCTGTTGTCAAGTACTATAACCACCACTTGTCTGTTGTCAAGTACTCCAGCCACCACTTGTCTGTTGTCCAGTACTCCAGCCACCACTTGTTTAATTTTCCAGTAATTTTTGTGCAGAATTCCTCTTGCATGAGTTTCTTCTATAATTTTGTTGCTTTACTATACTTATATTTTCTTGCTTGGAACAGAGAAGAGGAATGATAGCTGACTGTAATTACATGCACTTGAGGTTAATGGAGTGGACAAGAGTGAAGGTATGTACTATTACATCATAAGTACAATCACACCACTGTGGTCCATATATGATAATGCCTATTTATCAGTCAACAATATATATTGTTATTACAAATTTAAATGGCTAAACATTGTTGAGCATAGTGAAGTGTGTAGGAGACTGGGCCAAATCAATAGCTATAATGGGCTAGCTCTCCCCACTCATCAATTACCATTGTTTGTTGTACAACCTTAATTACTGAAACACTCCAGGTTCCCATCTGGTTTACTCTGTCATTGTTTAAGTTTAGGTAATGATGACCAGCATGAGAATGGCTGTTACTTTCATGCCTAAGCTTGGAATGCTCACTGGAACATCATCAGGTTGTGTAATGTTATTTCTGGTCACGATCAGTCTCCATAATCAACATCAGGTCGGCATTTGATTGGATGCAATAGTTTCTGACCCGTTATATATGTAATCAATACATTTCATTCTGATTGGTAATTTTATTTGATTGGTTGCGCTATTAGATTGAAAGGGTCAATCTTGGACCCTATACAGTTGTATGTATTTAATCAATAAATTCCCACCTGATATGTGAGTTCAAAAGGTGAACTTGTCATGTTATAGGTCATGAATTCATGAGTATGAAATGATAGCACATTGGGCCTCCCTTATTGTTTGTATTTCAATACTTAAATGCTTGCCCAGTCAATGTTTCCAAATCCTGACAAGGACAAACTACTTATTGTGATAGCAGACGGTATATGTCAAACTGTGACCTTGAAAGTCAAAGGCTAGCTCATATGTTATGATCACAGCCTTTTTTAAACAATGATGCTGTCTACTTTTGCTGTGAAATTATCTGGAAGCATTCATTGATAATGATGTTATTAAAGTAGGAATAAATGTGACCAATGCTGTCAAAACAGCCATGAATTTTAATTCTGCCTCCTCCACCAGTCGCTGTGTGTTTATAAGGTACAACTAGACAGCTCAACAATCAGAGCATTCTATTGGTAAACTGTCTAACCCCAGACGACTGTAATATGGAAAATGTTGGATTACCCGAGTCTAATTTGGTATCAACTGATCAGATAGCAGATGATTGTCTCCAATGTAGAAATTCAAAGTCCTGTATGGAATGGTAAAGAACAGTACTAGGATGGGGTAGTCGATTTTAGTTTTGTAGTAACTGTGTTGGGTCATTTATATTTAGGGTACAATACTTATTGAAATAACTAGAATCATTACAACTATTAAAAGGGAAATGTTTATGTGTAATTGTTGAGGGACAGAACAAAAAGAATATATTTCACACTTCTGTCTCATCATGCATTGTACATGAGGTCATAATCGGTAAAAAGTATATTGGAATGGTATATATCCTAAATTTGATCAGAAACAACAATGAAAGCTGAGGATAAACAACAGCAAGAGGTGATAAAAAACAAATCAAAATGAAACAACAGGAACCAAGGATACACCAAATCAAAATGAACAAAAAAAACAGAAGCCAAGGAGATGTCAAATCGAAAAGAAATAACAGAAGCAAAGGATCAACCAAATCAAAATTAAATAACAACAGGAGCCAAGGAGACACCATCTCTAATGAAACAACAACAGGAGTCAAGGAGACACCAAATCAAAATTAAACAACAACATGAGCCAAGGAAACACCAAATCAAAATTAAACAATAACAGGAGCCAAGGAGACACCAAATCAAAATGAAACAACAACAGGGGCCAAGGAGACACCAACTCTAATGAAACAACAACATGAGCCAACGAGACACCAACTCTAATGAAACAACAACAGGGGCAAATGAGACACCAACTCTAATGAAACAACAACATGACCCAAGGTGACACCAACTCTACTGAAAAACAAGAACCAGGGAGACACTTAATCAAAATAAAACAACAACAGGAGCCAATGAGACACCAACTCTAATGAAACAACAACAGGAGCCAACGAGACACCAACTCTAATGAAACAACAACAGGGGCCAATGAGAAACCAAATCAAAATTAAACAACATGTGCCAAGGAAACACCAAATCAAAATTAAACAATAACAGGAGCCAAGGAGACACCAAATCAAAATGAAACAACAACAGGAGCCAAGGAGACACCAACTCTAATGAAACAACAACAGGGGCAAATGAGACACCAAATCGTAATGAAATAACAACAACAGCCAAGGAGACACTACATCACATGAAACAACAACAGGAGCCAAGGAGTGTTCAGACAGAGGTGAAAATATATCTTAGTAAAGTGTTTTGAAAATAAAATGTCTCAGTGATATGTTCTGTAATAGGTTAAAAACCATCTAAATGAGGGGTTCTGACATATGGAAAAATGTGTTTTGAAAAAGATAAAAAAATATATCTTAGTGAAGTGTTCTGTCAGAGGTAAAACTATTATTGTGACAGAAGTACAAGTCTGAGTGAATTGTTCCAGAGGACCTGTTGAGAAGCCTTGAAGTACACACAGTTACGAGGCCTGTGACTTGCCTATGAGGCCACAGTGTATGGTACACAGCATGCTCACTTGAACGGTACACAGCATGCTGATATACACATAGCTACAGTGTATCGCTACTCACCTTTTCATGTATGACAGCCACTGGACCGTGACAGGAGGAATCATCTACATGTGACAGATATCAGTGTTGCGTGCCTGGCTGATGAAGCTGTTTTTATAAGCGGAGGCTGGCCAGGTGTAAATGGGATGTAGTACAGGGGGCTGTCAATCACAGCAGTACATCAGCCTGAGATCACCCATGGCAATGGTTACACCAACTTAGTTGATATGTACTTCATAAAAAAGCTGTTTCATGAACTGGAATTGCTTTATGTTATAGACTGAGGCAGGTTACGGCTGGTGACGTTTGTTAGAAGTGTTGTGAATCATAGTACCTGAATGTCATCAGAGGGAGTTTTTTCTGAGTTTTAATGATTTTCTGTAGAAACCAGTGTGACAGTATTTGTAGAAATTGTTACAAGACATTTTGCAAG